TAAGACATAAATGAAAGACAGCATGGTCTCATCTGCTAGATTTTATGGCTCACTGGGTTTAACACCGTATTTTACTCTGGCTCTACCACTGTCAGGTACCATGAAGTATAAACTTAACAGAGAAATGTAAGAAAAAAGAAAGCTGTGTAAACTGAAAGCTTATTTTGCATGATTTTACACGCTACCTCACATTTCACTGACAATATACATTTATCAGATGCAGACAAGCAGATCTACTGACACACATAATTCTTCACTGAGGCCATCTGCAGAATATTTAATGCGGAATGCCTTTCCTGTAAATAAGTGTACAGAGAACTAAAAAAGAAATAAATTTCATTCTCCCTTCCTTGGTCTCTAAGAGAACTCCCCCATCTGTCCTGCCTGACATCTCTATCAGCATTCCCAGGTGCCCAGGGAGGTTTCAGACCCACAGTCCCCAGCTGGAGCAGAGGGAACTCAGCACCAATGCCTGCTGGAGAGTTAAAGATCAGCTTTTGGCTGCCAAACCTCAATGGCTCTTTTCTGCACCACTGAAAAGGATGAGGATGCTTCAGTGAACATTCTAGGTTGTTGAGGTAGATGAAAAGTCAAAGCTGCTTTTCTGGTACATCCTCTGTGTGTAGGCTGGCACCCTCCCATGGATCCCAAAGGCCCACGTGGCTTCTCTTGCATGCTCCACTCAGATTATATTGGTTTTGCTATCTAAAACTTGTATTCCATTAAGTTACCAGAGTGATCCTAAGGCTTTGGATGAGGAAGAACTCCCTTAACAAACACATGTCCTTCCCTTTTCATTTGGGTTCCCCAGGTCAGCCTGAGCCCTGGGATGCTCAGTGAAACATGTCCTGAGCATGAGTGATGTACCTGAACACTCCAGAGTGGAGAGACTGCACAGGAGAAGGACTGCAAAGGTAATCTCAGCTTCACCACATCTCTCATTTAGAAGGAAAGAGCCACCTGGACCTGGTCATGTCCCCAGAGACCCACCTGAGCTTGAAAAGGGGGGACAGGGAGTTTAACTGCAGGTAGAGATTGGATTCTGGTACACTGCATGAAAATGTCACCAGGGAGCTCTCAGGGAGACAAAGACCCTGTGGCTTTCCCCCAAAAAGCACAAGCATGTCTCTGCTACAGAGCACTTGGGAAAACCAAAGTCAGCAGAGGATTAGGAGGGAATCAATTTCCTTTCTCCTTCTCACACCTTTTTGAGAATCCATTGCTTATGGCCACCACAACAAACTGCATTACACCTTACAGTATAAAATAGCATCTGCAAAGTACCATCCACAGGCCCGGGATCTTGATCTTTAGCTCTTCTTAGTTTATTAAAACACCATTTTTGTATATTTTTAAAACACTGTCAACTTCAGGGATAAAGACGGGATGTGTGTGACACAATCTGATGGATACTCAACTTATATTTCATGTTCTCTTTCTCATGTCAGGCTCTGTCTGGCTGCTATGTTGAAATCTTTTGATTAAATCCTCTTACTTCACTGCTTCCTTATTGAAACTCACCCTTCGTCTGGCAAAATTTTAATTACTACAGGACTGCATAACTCCATTCAGTGCTCTGATAACACCTCTGTGATAGGAGCTAAAGCAATTCCTAAGATAGAATGCAACTATAATACTCTATCATTATGTCTTCTTTTATGGCTCCTAGCACCCTCTTTATGGCTGCTAATATATTGTGGCTTCTGCCTTCCACCTACTGATTTCTGCTCTCCTTCACTCAATGTCTCCTTTTTCTCACCCAGAGAATTAACACCCTATCTCTGTAATCTCCTTCCTGCTCCCAGAAATAATGTAGGGAAGGTCTCTTCTCCTTGTCATGCTATTCTTTTCCATTTTTCAAAGACAGGGGTTTTTACAATGCTCTGCATGTTCTGCAACACAATCAGCACCCAGGATGTGCTGTCTGCTCTCAGGGGTGCCTTCAGCATGCTGGGTGCACCTAACCCAAAGGTCAGAGCAGGAATGCTCCAATCTTCTGAAAACTGAACTAAACAAGCTTAACTACACCTCAGAGAAGAAAGCACAGCAGTTTTTCCCCCCTCTTGGTTCTGCTGGGTTGCTGGCTCTCACTGACATCAAGTAACCACCAAAACCAGACCAGGTTCTGCTTCAACCGGACAGGTAGAATTTTAGAAGTGAAATGTACACATACATTACCCTGTAATTCTAATTTAAAATTCCATTTGAGGATTAATAGCAATGGCCTCCCTTTCAGGCAGTCCTCTCCACTTCCACTCTCACAGCAGCTGTATTGGCTCACACTATCAAAAGCCTTAAGGGAAACAGGTCAGTTGAAAATCACTGCTCTGAGATAACATATTTCTACACCTGAGAAGCCAAAAAGCAGCAATTAAGCACAGCAAAATAAATAATTCAATAGCTAATTTGACCTGCCAGGTTGCAGAGTATTTTTTTATATCCTACCAGATTGTAATTTAGTTTAGAAGAAGTGTCCCTGGAGAGCAATGCTGTGAGAGCCCATAAAATGCTATAGTATGATATCAGGCAAAAAGCCACCTGTAAATGGGCCACTGTTGTTTAAAGAAGTATTTTTTTTGTTGTCAGTCCTGCATATTTCATGAGAAAGTGATGAAGTCCTTCTTTGATTCTTTATGAATTAATCTGCCAACTGATTAGGCAGGTAAAGCAGCCATAGATTGGGAAACTAAATTGCACTGCAGGCACTTGACTTTTAGATGGAACACAAACCAAACAGAAAGCTAAATGCTCTTTTCTGTGGTAAAGGAATTGGCTCCTTTTTAATTGCCTCACAAATAATCCATGGGCAGCTTTTAGTGGGAGCAATCCATGTGGCCTCTGAATACATAAATAAGCACTGAAAATGGGGGGAAATATTCATGCAAGGTGCAACTTAGTGGGAGAATAGAACAGCAGAGCTTGAACAAGAGACTCCCACCTGATTGCTGAGTTTGTAGGGCAGTGCTAACCTGGTGGGAAAAAATAGAGCAGCCCAGATGGAAGGACCTCAGTTCCTCCCAGTCAAAGGAGATGAGATGAAAATGGAGATGACAGGCAACCCCATGTGCACAGGTGAACTAAAACTGGGAGAAGTGGGTGGGGCAGGGTTTGAGATGGCTCTGAGCAGCCACAAAGGCTGAGTGGAACAAGAGGAGAAACACCAGGGAAGACTCTGAGAGCTCACAGGTTGAAATGGAGGGACACAGGAGGCTCCTGGAGCAGGTTTCTGTCCCCACTGATCACTAAGTGTCCCACAGCAGAGACAGAGCCTGGCTGGAAGAGGGTGCACCAGGGCAGAAAACACAAACCTTTTATCTTGGATGTACACACTCATTTACTGAGCACTCCAGGTTCTTGCTGTGCTGATCTCAACCTTTTCTGACAGTAAAAAACCAAACCCTAACAAACCCCAAAGCAACCACAAAGCCCTTTCCTGCTTATTGACACCATTGCTGATCCTTCCTGGGTACAGTTCATCAGTCAGATCTCAATGTGTTAATAAAATGATAACAAAATTCTCCTCAAGCCCCAGAAAACTGCAGTTTGGGAAGGACAAGCACTGGGGACAGCACCCAGAGCATGCTCTCCCCATTTCCTGATCCTGGCCCATAGTTGGTGTTACCCTAGATGAATGTTTGAAAAAAAATTTGAAAGATCTACTTGCTTTAAAAGCAAATAAATAAATTAAACCAGCTCTTAAGCTTCCAGAAAATTACTACAACTGCTATTATAGCCTAACATAGTCCTAAGGAAAAAAAATGGGATGATCATAAAACAGGTGCACTACAAGACTTATTTTATTGCATCTCCCATTTTATAAAGATATTCATGAACATATAAAAATAAACACTACTCCTTTGCAATTAAGTTTCTCTCTAGTTGTAAGTACAGCTATTTTTAGTTTTAATTTGAGGATATCTCCCAGAATTGCAGAGCATAATCATTTCCACCATAACTCTGCATCATCATTATCAAATACCAGCCTATCTTTGGAAAATGCACATTTTACATGCCAAAGGTCCCAGAAGTCCTTTTGCAGCTGATGGTACAGATCAGCTCCTGCAGTCCCAACTTCCAGTAATGCCAAATATTGGCCACCAAGTGGTGCTACAAAGATTTATTCCAAATGCAGTTCTGGCCCATTAAACCAAAAGGGGATGGGGAAAGTCATGCTAATTTCAAGCCCTATTAAAATTGCAGGCAATAATTTAACGTTTCCCTCAAATGTAAATGCAAGGAAATTTATGAGGAAATCAGATTGGTATTCAAGTTTCTAGGAAGAAATGATAGAAAATGATGAGGAGGTAAAAGAAGCACTTGAAATCCTCCAGCCCAGAGCCTCCTTAATGGTGTCTCCCCATCTGACTGCTTTGGGATTTCACACCCATCGTGGTTCCAATTACTCCTCTCTCCACAGAGCCGTGCTAGACCAGGCACAGCAACTTTTTTATGGTCTTGCAGCCATTGCAGGAGCCTGTCAGCAATGCTGCAATAATGAGGAGCACAATCCAGGAGTGCTTGCTGAGGTGATCCCTGCAGCCTCCTGTCATGGACATATTTCCTGAAAAATACTTTTGCCAGGATCTTTTCTTCTGAGAAGCTGAGAGGACTCAGAAATTAAATGTAAATAATATCTGCTGCTGTGGGAGGCAACAGGTGCATCTGTGATTGGTCTCATGTGGTTGTTTTTAATTGATGGCCAATCACAGTCCAGCTGTCTCGGACTCTGGTCAGTGACAAGATTTTATTATCATTCTTTTCCTTTTCTTGCTAGCCTTCTGATGAAATCCTTTCTTCTATTCTTTAGTATAGTTTTAGTATATCATTTTCTTTTAATATAATATATATCATAAAATAATAAATCAGCCTTCTGAAACATGGACTCAAGATTCCCATCTCTTCCCTCATCCCGGGACCCCTGCAAACACCACCACAGCCTCCTCATCCTCCCTCAGCCCTGTCCCCGTGCCACCGTCCCTCTGGGCACAGCCAGCACTCACCAGCCAGTGTTGAACTCCACGTGGGCATCGAAGAACCCCACCACGGGGGATGTTGCAGCTTTCCAGCCCTGGATCCTGGCTCGGATCAGCCCCTCGCGTTTGTTGTTGCGCACGATCTTCACCAGCCCCGGGTACCTCTTGTGCACGTACTGGTCCAGGTTAAACTTCAGCTCAACTGCAGGGCAAAATCAAAACCCACACAAGCATTTAGAGTGAGAAAGGCCCTGCAATGTTGTGTTTTGTTCTGCAACAGAAAGGGAGAGGAGTCCTTAAATATTCCCAAACCCTTGGTGAGTCCCAGAGATACAAACCCAGCACTGAGGCATGGAGCAGCTCCAGGGGTTTCAGCCCACAGAAATTGCCCACACACCAGAGACTTGCCCAGCTTTAATATGGATTTGAGTATACTGTCGAAGAGGTAGTTTTTAAAAAATTACTATTTAAAAAAAATTACTATTCTGATTCTCTGATGATTTGTATTAGTTACAACTGGCCTCTGGAGGAGCAATTCTGACCATAAGCAAGTGTAACATGCCAGTCTGGTGATTTCTTTTTTCTGATTTATGCTCTTCAGTAGGAGTGAAAAAAATAACCTCAATGGATTTTGGGTCAAGAAGTAATTCAGATCACAATTAATTTCCCTTAATTTTCAATGTTTCCCCTTAAATATAATTAAGATTCTTCAATACTAGGCTTCTTTCCTTTTTAACTAAATGGATATTGAATATCTCAAATAGACTTCTCTTTTGTTCATTTTCAGGCATTCAATCACAGATGGAGCAGAACTCATTCACCCTTTTCAGCTTCATTTCAAGAGGCTTATAAACAGGCAAATTACCAAAATGGTCTCTCTATTTATTTTTTTTTTAATCCATGTAGTTTGGTAATTCATTTACTCTGCAACTTATTCATATAGTGGTGTTTGCCTAAATATCTTTATCAGAAAAACTAGTAGAAGCTTCCAGGACATTAGCAGCTTCATTTTTCTGATCTATATTAGATAGTAGAATCATTATCATTAGAATCAAAAACTTGATAAATCTCCAGTTATTTAGAAGAGTGGCAGAGAAAAGCCATATAAGAGTTCACTGAGAAATGATGAGTTCAATTCTCCTCAGGATTGCCTTGACTCAAACACTTTGCAGTCTCATATAATTACTCCACAGGTTACACTGCCATAACTGAAATCTGAATTGCATAAACATGTTCTTAAATCTATAGGTTTTGGAACTTATTTTCACTTGAGTTGTCTCTTCTCTCAGTTCTCTCTTCAAGGATCTTGAAGAGTAAGAGCAACTTAAAACTGAAAGATTTGAGGAAGAAATGCTGAATTTTAGACTTATTGGAAATAAATATGATTTTAGAAGATGAATCAGTTCTAGAAATGTAATGTACAGATTTAAACACGACAGCTCTTGTCCCTCGTATCCTGAGAATCTTCAAATATGACTATTGTGAAATATGCTGATAATAGCACCCTATATGCTCATCAATATTTGGATTTTGGATTAAATCATGAAACAACAATGTGCTGCCATATAAAAGAGTAGCAGCTATCTTTAAGGAGAATCTGTATCCTCACTTTCCCTTGGCAGCAGAATGTGAACTTTTATTCTATCGATAATGATATTCCTCTAGATCCAAAAATTTGGAGAAAAGTGCTTATTATGATTGCTTACACAAATGCCATTCATTCTGTTAGGATTTCAATGAAATCAACAGGCTTTATCCACATAATGTTTATTTGTTATACAAATAGTCAATATTTACTCACAGCTTTGCGCAAATGGCTTGATCAACCCTCCCATCAACAAACACATTTACATTTCACACCTAGAAACCACACGGGGTGCCGTGCTTAGAGGCAAAGTGACAAAAGCTCACCATTGTCACTGTTGTCATCCACCAGGATGATCTCCTTGAGCAGGTGGGACGGGGTGTGGTTCACCACGCTGTGCACGGAGCGCAGGATGACCGAGAGAGCCTCGTTCACAAAGATGAACACCACTGAGATCTGGGGCAGGTCCTCCGGGTAGCTCATCTGCTTGCACCTGGAGAGGGGAAAGGCACAATGAAAACCCAGGCAGCCACTGCGAGCCAAAACAGACTGAAGAGCATCCTCCTCTCCTTGCTCTCCATCCGTGTAGGGATTTGCAGACTTTGTCTTTTCTCGATTCTTTAGGTTTTAGCTTTAGCTGGGGACCAAGGACAAATGATCCAAATCTCAGGCCCAAGAGCACAAACAATGTGGGCTGAAAAGAGAAAAACAAGGATGGGACTTCATAAGCTAAAGCTGGAATTGGACAATTAACTCCCAAGATGCAAAAGAACCAGAACTTTTCAAAGAGGACCAGCCATCCATTTTGTGACCATTTTGGTTCATCTTGGGCGTAGCCCTGGCTGGGCTCTTGTGCTGCCCATGGTGGGTCCACTGAGGCCTTTTAATAAATCCCTGCTTTATTCTTTAGCTCTGTCTAGCCTCTATTCTAGGCCAGCCTTCACAAGGCATCATTCTAACCCCAAGGAAAGATGTGGTAAAGGCTCAAAAGAACCAGCCTGGTTAGGAGCAGCACCCTCTCCATCAGCCCAGTGTAAAACACAGGGTGTGTGCAATGCAGGTGCTTTATGCTATCTGCACACAGATTTGTAGCAGCTCTCCTTCCCTGTGAGGTTAAAAGCATCTCTTGAAAACCAAAGGACTATCAATTGCTCTGCTCAAAAATAACCTGGAGAAGGCCTGCAATGGCACACCCTGGCTGTGCTCCATGGGGAACCTCCAGCAGCTTTGCTGCTAACTCACAACCGCAGCAGAACTTTCAAACCAGCATTTGCTCAAGCAAATTTAGCATTTGCCCACAGAGAGAACACTTGCCACCCTTTCTGACTGCGCAGTTTGTGCAACAAGAACAAACACATGGTGGTTGTTGTACAGGCCTGCACTTGCTGAATTATCTGCAAATAGGTCTGCTCCCTCTGAGATGTTGCCTTGTTAGGCTGCTACATCCTTATTCACAATTTGCTTTTGTGCTGCTCACTGATACGTATATTTTACCACAGACCATTTTGAGAAGAAGAACTGAGGCCTGGAGAAGTTGCACAGCACAGAGCAGAGCTCCTGCTTCCCAAGTGCTCAGCCCATGCCCCTCTGTAACACCACACTGCCCTATTTCAGTGGGACTCTCTCCCATTAGCAAAGAGGCTAACTTTAAAAGCTACCTACCTGTTCTCACAGTCAAAAAGCCATTCAGAATTACCATAGCAATTGCTGAACTTGCTCTCTAAAATACTGCTAATGATATCACAGAAAATGACTTCTCCTGCTCTTATCAAACTTTCTGACCTCTATGCTCATTACTTTGGCATAACAATCACTTTTTTCCCCACTATCAGCAGTCATGGGGATAGGGCAGGTGACAAATGCTTGACTGCTGGGTAACCTCTGCAAGTCAGTTATGAATTCTAGTAAAGTGTAATTATTCATAATTCCTGATCCCAGCACTATTTGCTCAGAGACCTGAGCACTCATCATTGATTCCAGTGCTACCATAGCTACTCACTGGCAGCCTGTGCCACACAGAGGACCACTGTGAAAAACTTCTGGCTAAGCAGCATTCTTACACAGCCTAAAAATAAGCCTGGAACAAGGAGAGAGGTTTTCAGGAGGCATGAATGTTCTGACACAGTCCCTTTTTTTGAATTTCTTTTTTGAATTTCATTTTGAATGCAATTTTCCTCTTGAGCACACTGACTTATCAAAGAAGTGCATCAGGAATACTGCAGGAACAGGAAAGAGCCATCAGCTAAAAACCATGGACCTTGCAAGTTTTCCTGTGATGAGGGACATCTTTTACCTGACAGCAATTTTCTGTAGAGTCCCACACATCCCAAACTGCAGCTCAGGAAATCAGAGCAGTCCCCAGGGAGTGGGTGCCCGGCTGGTGCAGGTGAGGCAGAGGAGGGAGCCCACCCCAGGCCATCCCTCCTCAGAGGGACCTCAGAGAATTAGGAATTTTGCTGAACATTTCTGAGGAAAAAGTATTTTTTTAATTGGCAAGTGAACTGAAACACCTGGGTACCCAGCTACATGTTCCTGGTCAGACTGATAGGGTAACTACAAGTGGGACCAATTTCAGTGCTTTTCTGCCATCCTCCCACTTTAATTCAGAGGAAAAAAAAAAAGGAAAAGAAAAATCTGATTCTAGCTTTAAAACCAGCACACCTAAACCATAACCTCATAATTTTTGATTTATTTGTTCTTCATCACATTAAATCAATGCATTATTGTCCCAAGTGGGGCTCCATGGCCTTGCTGGTTCACAAGACTTTTCATGCCTTAGTTCTCAGTGATTACTTACACTGTAGGGCATCAGGGACTGCTTTAGAGAAAAAGCTGGTTTGAATTTCTTATTCCACCTGGATGAAGTCATGCCTATCACTTCTCACTGCAACCTTTTGTCTCTTAGTTCTTCCCTTTTTTTTTCTATTAGCAGGACATAGTTGAAAAACTGCATTTTGACTGCATTTAGAAAGAGCAGTCCAAACAAAATATATTGGAATATCTTTGGTAGTGCCACTGCAACAGGAACACCTAGATGGGAAAAAGCAAAGCTCAGAATTTAGCAGTAGTTTAAAAGCTGCCATAAATTTATTTATTTATTGCAGTGAGGATGAAGAACAGCAAAAGCAGCTGTCCAGCTGAGCACTTTCCAAAGCACAGCAGTGATTTAAGGGTTTATTTCCTGCAGGCTTCAAGTCAACCTTGAACTCCCAACTCCTTAGGTCACTTTACAAAAGGAGATTGATGTGCTGAGGTAGTCAGGAGAAATTACTGGTCCACTACCAAACACTCCTGATGATGCTTGAGAGCATGAGCAATCCCAGTTAAGGTGTCTTTCCTTCAAAATCAGTGGGTGCTTTAAGTGCTTTGCTGGATTGCTGCCTGAGCTCTTCCCAAAGTGTTCTCTAATTAGACACCAGCCACAGCAATTTACAGTTAATACTTCCTTCATTCCAAGAAACTCTAACCAGGGTTTGACACTCCTGGCCAAACAGAGACATGAGCAAACCTCACCCTGCCAAGGCACACCCAGCTTTGGGTGTCACCTCAGCCACCTCTGCTCAGCCAGAGCCTCACAAGGGCTCTGCACTGGGTCAGACAGAGGTGCCTGTAAAAAAGGGACACAAAGAGTGACAGAATTCTCCTTGCAGCAGCCCTGGACTGGCCCTGGAGGAGGTAGCAGGGGACAGTTCATTACAGAGGAAAGGGAAGGCTGTAACAAGCCAAAGGGAATCCTTGCACAAAAGGGCTGGAGCAGCAGCCTGGACACAGAGGAAATCATCAGGCAAGAAACCTATGAGCTAATGATGGGGCAGCTTAGCACAAGAATAGGCACTTTTACTATTTCTTTTGAGAAGAAAATTACCAGAATGGGAAGAAATCAAACTGTACAAAATGCACTAGCAAGGCACAGCTTTATAATCCTTCAGCCTTACTGCCAACAGAACCATGGTAAGAAATTTGGAAATCATCCCTTTTTCAGGCCTGATGCTGTGCAGTGCCTGAGTTTTAGAAGCTCCCAGTGCTCTGCCAGGAGCTGGATCCCACCAGTCTCCCCTTCTCTGCACCAGGTCTGACCACACTGAACTGTGTGAAGAAGAACAATTTCAGCAATGGACAGCTGAAACCTGGCCTTGTTAACACCAACACTCCTGAGTTGGGGAAGAACTGAGTGCACATTTGACCTGTGTGGTAGCTAAAGATGGTGTGAGCTGGGCATAGCTCACATCCAATATTCCTGATTTTAAATCAGCATTCAGGACTGCCAGCAGGTCCCACAGAGTCCAACCAGCAGAGGAGCCCAGGGCTCCAGGGCACACAGGTACCTGGGCAGGGACACAATGCTGGATGCCTGCAGGACTGGGGGTTCCAGCAAAGGCTGACAGTGCCATGGCTAATCACTTCCATGGGCCAGCTGAGGATGGATTAAACCTGATGTGTGAAACAGCCCTGCAGGCTCCTCTCATACAGCATGCCAAGCATCAAACCTGGGGCATCCTGCTGCTGTCTTGGGAAAGGGCTTTGAGTGCTCTCATTCTGTATTTGCTACTGCAGAGCTTGGCTGGCAACCCAGAGGTATTTCCTTTCAGATCATTTTTCTCTATTCTAGAGATGATTTTCACTCATTCATTCCCTCACATTGAACTGGCTCCTTAAATGAACATTTCCCAGCCAGCGTCCTGAGCCCAACTGTGAGAACTGTCTTGCAGGCTTCAGAAGAAAATGGGAAAAGCTCTTTGGTTGGCAGATCAGAAACTTGGGGGAAAAAATCATGTACTAACATAAAAAGGTCACAGATCAGAAACTGGGACATGAGAAAAACAAAAGGTGCTCAACTGCACATGAACCTGCTCATGGCAACCTTGTAAGCTTGGAGGCATCAAAGGGAAGGAAATTTTCTTCTGGCTGAAGCTTCATTCCCTGATAGATGTATTTACTCTAATGGTATCTGATCCAAGAGAAACACGTGAAGTCCTCTATTTATCAGGATGCTCTTACAGTCCATTTGGGTTGCACTATTTTTTGTGAAGGACTGTCACTGCAGCCATGCAGGCAGTTCAATGCATTACCAAAAAAAAGGAGAAACATCTTCCCTGCTCTATTTCCCCTGCCCTTTCTTCCTGTCTCTAAACTTGCTAAACTCCAAAAATGAGTTTTGCTCCGCAGACCTTAATATACTGAGTTTGGAAATGGATTAAGCAATGCTTTTAGAGATTTCTGTCAGCTTTGCCCTTCAGGAAGAAATGCAAACAAAATTAAAGCTGCTTCATGAATCTTTAAAGTGTTTAATACAAGATACGTTTTTCCAATGAACTACTGGGACGGAGTTGACTGAAGGTTCCTCTCCTTCACAAACCTGATGAAATTGCTGGGCTTGAAGAAACATCTGCAGTTCTGGCAAAAAAACCCTACCCCTACATGATCTGTGCCTTGAAAGCTTCAGAATGATCTGTGTTCATGTTTTATAGCCACAGCAGGAGAACAAGTTGGAAC